ATCTCCCTGATCTGTGGAAACCATTTTAATCTCATCTCTCAAACTTTGCTCAGGTCCTGTGTTCATGGAAACTTCAATACTCATTGAATGAGGAAAAGCCTGCCTATTTCTGCAGTGTCTGATATAATTAATTTCTTCTGTCAAAACTGGGCGAACACAGTACTCTGTGGGAAGCCTTACAGTGGGGTGGAGGAAAATGTCAGCTTCTGGGAGGCAGGTCTGTGCATACTGTGCAGTTGCTGAGATGCTGACGCCATTGGACATTCAAGTCATTTAAGTTACTGCCCTTGATCTGGTTCTCTGCACATCAAGCAATTAAAAATTTTTTTTTCTTTATTGTTTAGAGAGAGAGGAATGGAGAGGCAGAGGGAGATAGAAACATGGATGAGAGAAAACATCGATTGGCTGCCTCCTGCACGCCCCCCACTGGGGATTTGGCCCACAACCTGGGCACGTGCCCTGACCGGAAATTGAACCGGCGACCTCCTGGTACATAGGTCGATGCTCAACCACTGGGCCACACCAGCCAGGCTCAAGCAATCTTTTGATTCCATAGTTTCTTATTGGCCCTTTTTTTTTTTTTTTGCATTTGTCAGTTAGGCTACTACTTGTAGAAATCCCCATTCTTCCTCTGTAAATTTTCATATAAACTACGAGTAACATTGGCCTTTTTTCTGGTATTCGTTTCCTAAACCTGACAAAAATAGGTCAACTTTATAGTATAGCCCATCGTGAAGATTGTAGATCGTTGGTACTCTACAATAAATTATTTGGAGGAAAAAAACACTTAAATTTCAAGACAATTATCGAACCTAAGAATTTAAGACTAATAGCCACACTGGAAGCTAGTTTGAAATGCTGTTAATGGTTACTTTTATGGGTGGTACTACCAGTTTCTTCATATGACCCAGTTTATTTTTATTTTTTTAATTTATTGATTTGAGAGAGAGAGATGAAGGGGGGGGGGGGGGGAGAGAAACACCAGTTTGTTGTTCCGCTTATTGATGCATTCATTGGTTGCTTCTTGCACGTGCCCTGACCAGGGATCAAACCCACAACCTTGGTGTATCGGGATGACGCTCTAACCAACTGAGCCAATTCATTTTTTAGATGATGGAAGAAGATTCTGAGTGAAATTTAAAACAAAACAATTTTGTCACAATTTTACAGGGAGAAGTAAAGCAGCTTAGTCTGTCTCGGCTCTGTGTATGGTTTATGATGTAGCCTTGGGAGTCACTTGTCTCTCTGCCTCAGTTTCCTTCTCTACCAAATAAGAGTGTTGCCATCAGTAAGCCAAGGGTCCTTCACACTCTCCAACTATGAGCAGTGGTTCTGGACCTTTTTCCCAGACGGACACATACATGTGGGATCATGTTCCCCTCTCAGGAGCTGTCTGGTGTGCGGGTGTGCGTGCGTGCGTGCGTGCGTGCATGCGTGTGTTGCTTTGTTTTCAGGTAGCGGTATAGGTAAAATAGGATGTAAGTTATGCATAACCCCCAGCTTTGATCCCAGCCCCGTCACCCCAGTGACCACCGCTCCCACATCAGGAACCACCACTTTGGGGGACTGTGCGACTACAGGCTGTGTGCCACCTGGAAGACTCTGAACATTTTAAATGCATCAATTTTGAAAGATATTAATATACTTCTATACATATGCTGGGGAGTCCAATTATATATTCTGACAGTTCTTTCCCCCAGATCTGCTTATGTAGTTCTATCGAGATGTAAAGGCAGCGCCTTACAAACCTCCCCCTTCAAGACATCCTCAGAAAGCAGAGCCCCCTTGCTTTCTGGACATCCTGGTCACTGGAAAGCTGGGCCCCTGCTGCTCTGTGGAGCTTTTGCTGCAGTGACCAGGTCTGCCCAGGGGCTGGTCGTGCAGTGACTTCTTGGAACTGAAAAGGAAAGCTGTTTGGTTTCCTAAAAGAAAGAGAAATGGCTGCTCATATAACAAAGTCTAATTTATCACCTCAAAGCCCCTCTTCACGGCAGTGGGATCCATGTAGATGCCCCGCCAGACGACCGCCGCCTGGCTCTGTCTGTGGAACCAACATCTCTTAGAGCAGTTCTCTCCCTCCGTGCACGTGGAGTGAGCAGCACGCCCTTCTGAAGAGCAGCCTTCCCCGGACACGTCGCACTGAAGTGGCACCTGCTAGCATCACGTGAACTGCCGGCCCGACGACGATGATGGCAGGTCCGGCTCCCCTGTCAGCCGCAGTGCAGCGCGCCCAAGTGTCCGCAGGTGGCAGAGCATGGGACACGGCCAGGCCACACACACGCACGAGGGCTGCCCAGCACCACCCGTCTGGCCACCTTCTCCGGACAGGGACTCTGCAAACCAGGCCTGGACCCCAGATCAGGGGCCTCACCACGGGAACAAAGACCTTCAGAAGGGCAAGTTCACTTGACAAGACTTTATGTCAAAGACCCAGATAGCTGTCATCTGGGTCTTCCCTGTCCCTTGAGGTCTGAGTACACTTGGCTTCAGATTCCAGTTTTAGAAATCTGAATTCTCTGACTTCTTAGGGGCTGAGGGTCTCTGCCTCAGCTCTTGCTTCTGTGTCTGGTCTCAGCTCAGCAGTTTATCAGGTTGCTTATGAAAAAGCAGGTGTGAGCATGGTAGACCTCACGAAAGGTGGGTGCCATTGAGGAGAATCACATTTCCTATTGTAATGGTCTCGTTAGCAGACATGCAAGGCTTTCCTGTTCCCTTAGCCTTATGCTCAAGGTGTGGTCAGAGGACCAGCAGCAGCGGCAGAGCCTGGGTGCTTGTTAGAACTGCACAGCTTGCACCACCCCAGGCTTGCTGACTCAATCCCGAGTTCGCGGGCTGTCGGGAGAGTCCATTCATTGCAGCGTGACGAGCACGGATCTAAAGGCATCTCTGTCTCCTCGCCACGGGCAGAGTCCGTGCCCCGGCCCGTGCTCTGGCGTACCAGCCTCTCATCTCCTCCCCACTGGCAGGAGCTCCGAATGCTTTGTGTGCGACAGAGCAGGCCAGTCGCCACGCAGGCCCCGGGGCTCACTTTCACCAGCCCTGATCCTGACCCCAGCCTAACAGCATTTGTCTAAACAAGGTCCCCTTCTGGGAGGGACTCTGGCACCAGCTACTTCGATAAAAGAAATATCTCCATCTCATTACAGAAGATAATCCTGGATTTTATACAGGTATCTGGTTTCCAAACAGACCCCTAAATCAATTCGGGATGACAGGGCATCATGTAAGTGTTAGACCGGGGGGAGCTGAGTCTTCAACAGGAAAACGACCCACTCAAGGTCACTTTGCAGTTATTGGCAGAGGCAGGGAAGGTCTTCTGCTTCCCAGGGCAGGTTCTCTCCACTGCACCCCTGATCATTCTGCTTTTAACTGACCCTTTCAGTGGCTACCAGACTCTCTCCTGAGCAGAACCGGAATCATCTGGGCAGGTATATGTCGGATGCCTGCTGCGAATCGCGAGCGCTGTTCAAAGGTCAGAGGAAGCAAGTGCGCCCAGTTTTTCCCAAGTGCTTGCCTTTGCTCCAGCCGCTCCCTCAGACGAACGTCCTCGTTCCTTCCCCCCCGTCTGCCGGCAGGCTCCTGCTCGGCTCCGCGTCAGCAGCTGGGACCTCCTCTGTGCATTTCCCCTGTGGCACTTCTTCCGTCAGTGTTGTCTGTTCTCCCAGCTGGTCCCCTCTGAGTAGAAGTGTCCTCCAGGCAGGGCTGGACCCACGCTCGTTACTGTACCGTCGGTGCCCTGCACAGGACGCGCTCAAGAGTGTCAGGTTCCTTCCCCTTTTTTCCCCCTTGGAAATGCCTACAAATGAACGGTGTTGGTCCAACAAGTCCTGTTCCAACTCAGCCCCTTTGTCTTCAAGCACCTCGCCTTTCAAGCCATCCGCCTCACTGCTGCTCGTTTCTAGCCTGGACCCCTGGCCAGCCCTCCCGGCTCACTACTACCCACAGGTTCCGGATCATCTATCCAAATCGTCTACGAGTAGATGATTTTTTGGACGCTATTCTATTTCTTTTTATTATGGTTATTAAACTTGTTGAGGTCACACTGGCTGTTAACATTACATACATTTCAGTTGTTCATCGTAACCCGGCGTCTGTCGGCTCCACTGCATGCTCACACCCCCAGTCCGTGTCCTCCGTGTGCTCGACCCCCGTTATCACAGAAGAGAACAGGGATACTTCAGAGTGAACATACGTACAAGAAATTGTTACGCTTTTGGACAGTGGTCCCAGAGGTGGTTTTGTGAATTTGCCTCCAAAGACTTTCTGAGAATCATCCTACCTTCTGGACCTCATTTGCAAAAAGAGTAGGTTTGACTCATTAGCTAGAGCTCGCAATGGCAGGGTTGTAAATCACAAGTGTGTTATAATCAGTTGTGAGATACTTCGAAATTTTTTTGTATAATCATTAAGGTCTAGCCCAGCTGGTGTGTCTCAGTGGTTGAGCATTGACCCAGGCACCAAAAGGTCGCCAGTTCGATTCCCGGTCAGGGCACATGCCCAGGCTGTGGGCCCGATCCCCAGTGGAGGGCATGCAGGAGGCAGCCAGTTGATGTTCTCTCTCATCGATGTTTCTATCTCTCTCCCTCTCTTTTCCTCTCTCTCTAAAAAAACCCAATAAAGAAAAAAAAAAACATTAAAAAAATCATTAAGGTCTGCCAGCGGTCATTTTAATAAAGAAAATTATTTATCCTTATGACTGTCACTCTTAGTTGTGTTCTGATGTGCTTTCTGGAACAGGAGAAGAGGCTGGGGACACACAAGGACTGTTCCCTGGTTGTCTGTCATGTGCGACTCAACAGGCTAACCTATCGGATTCTTTCCAGCTCCATCATCTTAGGAGCCATAAAGCTCAGAGAGCAGACTGCTCTCAAAAATGTGAATTTCCAAATCCCTCCAGTGATACAGCAGCTCCTCAGAATTTAAATCCCACTCGGGAACACTTAAGTGAGTAACAAGCACCCTTTTAAATTTTTCCCTCTTCCTCCTTGGCTGTGCTTCAGGAAGCGAGAGGAAGAAAACAAGCGAAGAGAGGCTGAACAGCAGAAGGGAAGGCTGAGTCCGGATTCCTGCAGGCCCCAAGCCGCTCCCTGTCTGCCTGGCACCCACGCCGAGCCCCATGGGCAGAATGGGGGCCCCAGCAAACAGCCTCCCCCCAGCAGCGCGGCCCAGAGCACGGAGCAGAAAACCTGCAGAGGGTCTCCAAGCAGAGCCCCCCAGAAGGAGCAGCGTCTTCCCCCAGACTTGCAGGGAACAGAACCCAGAAAGCCAAACGGTAGGTGTATTGCCTTTGTTATCCAATACCAACCATGGACTGTGGCCCTTTTGATTAGTGTATTTAGGCCATTTACATTTTAGGTCATTATGTCAGCACTGAAGTCTGCCCTTTTATTTATTTTCTGTTTATTTCCTCTGGTTCTTATTCCTGTTTCTCTTTTCTTCCTTCCTGTGGGTTACTCAGACATCCTTTAGGATTGTATCTTGATTGATTTGTAGTGTTTTTGAGTAGATCTCTAGTTTCTACGGTGGTTGCTCTGAGTATCACAATATACATACGTAAGTGACTTACAATAATCTGTTGGTATCAGCATCTTACCACCTTGAGTGACACGTGGAACCCTCACTTCCATTTAGGTTCTTGTACCTTCCCCTCCTTTAAATATCTTTGCTTGGTGTCAGATGGTTCTATCATTTTTTGTTTCAATCATCAAATATAATTTATAAAACTCAATGAGAAAAAGGATAGTCTAGTTTATGTACCAATATGTTTTTCTGTTGTTTTGTTTTTCTTCCTGGTGCTCCAAATTCCTTCTCTCGTCATCTGTTTGAAGAACTTTCTTAGCCAATCAAAGGTGGGTCTGTTAGCAACAAATTCTTTGCATTTGCCTTTGTCCGGGAACGTTTTTCTTTCATTCCTGATGAATTGCTAAACCAGACCCGGACTTCACGGTGGGCACCTGCTCCAGTACTCGGCTGGGCCCCTGCTCTGCCTCCGTGGCTTCCCATGGGGGACTCACTGTCGTTCGAGTCGGTGTTCCTCGGGGATGTTCCTGGAAACTTTATCTGTAGTTTTCAAGAGTTTCTGTGATGTGCCTCGGCATGGATTTGGGGAGTCCACCCTGTTTGGAGTTTGTTTAGTGTGTTGGGTGTGCGAGACCACCCCTCGGTTCAGGAATTGGCTGGGAGGACTCACAAGATTCAGCAAGCAGTTGTGCTCCTTGCTGTGATTTATCCTAACAAGAGGGTACAAAGCACAACCAGCCAAGCGAAGTCTGGAGGAGACAGGTGCAGACCTCCAGGGGTCCCCTGGAGAAGTCACACGGCACTCAGCGACCTCCTCCAGCAGTGAGCATCCGACACCCAGGACTCCAAGCCCTTTATCAGGGTCAGTCATGTGGGCCCCTCTGCTTACCATGTGGCAGAGCTGCCGACGCCCAGGAGGAGAGCAGGTGTTCCGCATGAACTGAGTTATTCTCACAAAGCAATTCAAGCACATCGAGCCTTCTTACAGTTAGGGAATGGTGAGAAGCCTCCAGAAATCTAAGTGCAAATGCCAGCAAAGTGGAAAAGACACGGTTTTAGTGTTACATGAAAATAGTCTTGACCTGGTGGACCCCAGATAGGGCCTCTGGAATCTCGTGGTCACCTGAATCTCTTTCTCTAAACTTCAGTTTTCTTAGCTTATTATAAATGGGGTGTACTCTCCACCCTACAGGGCAGTTATGAATAGAAATAAAACATGTAGCCCTGGCCGATTGGCTCAGCGGTTAGAGCGTCGGCCTGCGGACCAGAGTCCTGGGTTTGGTTCCCGCTAGGGGCACGTACCTCGGTTGCAGTTTGTCCCCAGCCCCGGTTGGGGTCGTGTGGGTGGCAGCCAGTCAATGTGTCTCTCTCACATCGATGTTTCTCTCTCTCTTCCTCCCTCTCTCCTTCATGCTCTATCTGAAGATAAATGCAGAAATGCCCTCGGGTGAGGATAAAAAAGAAAAAAGTAAAAACATGTAGAGTCCTTGTTATAAACCATGACCCATGACAGTAACTACTGTTATTAAACCACACTGCTGATCTAGCCAGGAACAATCACATCAAAGTACACATGAACGACCACAAGCATTTCAGCCTGTAATTCCATAACCCACTTGACAGTGATGCAAAGCTGACGGATGGTGTGATGCTTTGTTACGTGTTCATGCATTTATTCCTTCAGTCATTTACTCAGCGCCCACGATGTGACAGTCCTATGGAATTTCCTCAGGTTTTTTCTTAGCTTGGGGGCCTTTGCATATAACATATAAAGGTGGTATCCTGTGTCAAAAAACTGCACCTTTTTAGATTAGTATTTAAATTTACATTAAAATAATTTTTAGTAAATTACATTTGAACTGAAATTCTGTTCTCCATCCTTATGGATTAAAAGTTCCAAGGATCCTGCCCCTGAAGAACACGACTCGCTGTTCTCCAGGCTTTGGCAGAAGCTTCTGCTCTGCTCTCCCAGCCTGCACTAAGGGACCCTCCACTGCCTTCTCGGGTCTGCCCGCCAGCCCCAGAGCCGGTGCCCTGGGTCTTACTTAAGTTTCTGTTTCGCCAGCCTCTCTCATTCTTTTTTGTTCTTTCTTCCTTTCTCCCTTTCTTCCCTTTCTCTCTCTCTCTCTTTCTCTCTCCTCACCTGAGGACATTCTTGCCTTTAGCAGAGAAACATCAATGTGAGAGACACACATTGACTGGTTGCCATCCACACGACCCCAACCAGGGCCGGGGACAAACTGCAACCAAGGTACGTGCCCTTAGCGGGCCGACGCTCTAACCGCTGAGCCAAACCGGCCAGGGCCAGCCTCTCTCATTTTTAGGCATCAGTTTCTGTGTTGGTTATCTCCTGTGACATTACTAACCACCCTCAAAAACAAGTGACTTAAAACAACAGTGTATTATTTCTCACAGTTGTGTGTGGGGGCCGGGTGGTTTCTGCTGGATCACCTGTTCTCCTCATGGCTGCCAGAGGTTGGCCGGGCTGGGAAGTCCGTGTGTGGGTCCAATACCAAAATAACTCAACAAACAAAATAGACACAGAAGCATAGATAACGTAGAACAGACTGACAACTGTCAGAGGAGAGGGGTTTTGGGGGTTGGGTAAAAAAGGTGAAGGGATTAAGAAAAAAAATATATATATACACACATATATTCCACATATATAAACATGGGTGGGCAAAGGGGGGAGAATGGAGGTGGGAAGAGACTCTGCTTGGGGTGGTGGATGCACAGTAGAGTGGGCAGATGATGAGTTGAGCTGTACACTTGAAACCTGCATGGTTTTGTTAACCAATGTCACCTCAATAAATTTTTTTAATGTTTTAAACAGAAAAAGAGAACAAATAAGAAAATTAAAATTCTCCATAATCTTAAGATAAACAACTATTATCACTTCTACTAGACTTTTTTTTTTTAATTCAGAAAATTGTAAACATCCTATTCTGAGATATTTTTACATCATCTCTTTGTTTTCAACAAAAATGTTAGTAAATGCTTAGTATTATATGAGATTACGAATACAGTATGATTTGTTTAATGTTATAGCCTTTCATATGCATTTTTGTGTATATTGCTAATGTTTTTTGTATTTGTTTTGTTTTTTATTTTTTTGGTACGTGCCCCTAGTGGGAACCGAACCTGGAACACTCTGGTCCGCAGGCCAATGCTCTAACCACTGAGCAATTCGGCCAGGGCTACATCTCTAATTTTTATGGCTCTTTAAACATGCTGCCAAATTTTATTCCAGGAAGGTTACAGAAGGTGGTCTCACCCTTTCAAAAGCAGAACTCAAAAAAAAAAAAAAATTCTCTCCAGACATTTAAGCAAATTACAGTTTTACCGAATCCTAGTTAGCAGGATGAACTTTGTCACATTTTTATTGGGTCTGTCTGTGTATTTATTTTCTGGATTGTTCACTGATGTCCTCTATTTTTTTTAATTGATTTTTTTTTTTTTTTTTTGGAGAGAGAGAGAGAGAGGAAGGAGAGGAGAGAAAGAGGGAGAAACATCAGTGTGAGAAACCTCAACTGGTTGCCTCACACATGCAACCCAACTGGGGATCGAACCCACAACCATTTTGTGCACAGGATGATGCTCCAACCAACTGAGCCACACCGGCCATGGCTCCTCTATTTTTATATTGGTTCTAAATTTTCCTAATATTTCTAAATGCTCTTTATCTAAGAAAGATAGAAACCTTTGTCTGTTCTATATTATGAATGTCTTTCTTTAGTTTGCCTTTTAATTCTGTTTACTTTTTTTTTTTGAGATTCTTCTCTTGGTGGTTTTATACCAAGAAAAGTATTTTTTCCACTTTAAGATCCAATAAACACATATATTTTCTGGTTTTTACTGTATCCTATGTATCACCATATTATATGGTGAGATTGGAATGCAATGATTTCTTTTTAGACAGTTAGCCGTGCTGGCCATACATATACAAGGAATAGCCCAGAGCTGGGAACAGTGGCAGCTGGAGGGGGACAGCACCCCCTCTGGGTTCCTACCAGGGCCTCTGAGCAGCTCCTCTCCTCACCACAGGTTCTAATGCTCCCTTTATCTGGTTTATATATGGGTGTATTTTTAGCTTTCTGTCCTTTCCCACTGACTTATCTATCTATTCTGTCATCTAATGACATAAATAATGTGATTTGGGTCACATTATTTATATCCTTATTAGTGAATGGTATCTAGTAATATCTACCCATCTCATTCTTTTTCTTTTTCTTTTTTCTTTTTCCCTTTTAATATGGTTTACTTTTTAGAGCAGTTTTAGGCTCGAAACAAAAATGAGTGGAGTTGCCCTGGCCGGTTTGGCTCAGCAGTTAGAGCATCGGCCTGTGGTCCAGAGAGACCCGGGTTTGGTTCCCACTAAGGGCACGTACCTCGGTTGCAGTTTGTCCCCGGCCCTGGTTGGTCGTGTGGGTGGCAGCCACTCGATGTGTCCCTTTCATGTCGATGTTTCTCTCTCTCTCTCTTCCACTCTCTCCCTCCCACTCTATCTGAACAAAAAATGGAAAAATGTCCTCCGGTGAGGATTAAAAAAAAAATGAGCGGAGTTCCCGGCCCACGCACACATCCTGCCCAGCTAATGGCACCCTGCACCAGAGCAGTGCATTTGTGACATAGATGGGCTGAGACCATGCAGAGCTGGGCTTCAGTCCCTCCAAGGGCCAGTTAACTCCAGTTCAGTTTTCCTCCTAAGACATACCTTGCATGGTTCCTCCACGGAGGGTATGTCAGAGAGGGCTTCTCTCCCGGCCTCGGGGGCTGATGCCTCTGGGGAGAGGTACCTCCAAGTGCCTTACTCATCTCTGTTGGTGTCCTGATTCTCCTGATCTTGGCTTCATTGTTTTCTGCCTTGTTAGCTCTCCGATGCCTTCAAACAGGTGGTTTGTAAGTGTTGGTGAGGATGTGGAGAAAAGGGAACCCTCGTGCACTATTAGTGGGATTGTAAATTAGTGCAGCCACTGTGGAAAACAGGGTGGAGGTTCCTAAAAAAATTAAAACTAGAACTACCATATGACCCAGCAATTCCACTTCTGGGTATTTATCCAAAGAAACCCAGAACACTAATTCAAAAAGAAATATGTACCCCTGTGTTCACTGTAGCGTTATTTACAGTAGCCAAAATATGGAAGTAACATAAGTGTCCAAAGATAGACAAATGGATACAGAAGATGTGGTACATATATACAATGGAATATTACTCAACCATAAAAAAGAATAAACTCTTGTCATTGTGACAGCATGGATGGACCTAGAGGGAATTGTGCTAAATCAAATAAGTTAAACATAGAAAGACAAATATCATATGATTTCACTTAAATGTAGAAATTAAAAAACATAATAAACAAACAAAACAGAAACAAATTCATAGATACAGAGAACATCTTAATGGTTGCCAGATAGCAGGGAGTTAGAGGTGTGGGTGAAAAAGGGAAAAGGATTAAGAAGTATAAATTCTCAGTTATAAAAATCGCGGGGATGTAAAGTACAGCATAGGAACATAGTCAGTAGTATTAACAACTGTATGTGGTGTCAGATGGGTACTAGACATGTCGGGGTGATCACGTCATAAGTGATATAAATAACTAATCACTTTGTTTTACACCTGGAACTAATATAATATTGTATGTCAACTATAATTGAAAATTTAAAAAAAATTTTTAAAAACAAGGTGGTTTGACCCTGGCTGGTTTAGCTCAGCGGTTAGATCGTCGTCCTGCGGTCCGGAGAGACCTGGGTTCGGTTCCCGCTAAGGGCATGTACCTCGGTTGCAGTTTGTCCCCGGCCCTGGTTGGGTTGTGTGGGTGGCAGCCACTCGATGTGTCCCTTTCACGTCAATGTTTCTCTCTCTCCCTCTCTCTCTCTCTTTCTCCCCCTCTCTCTCCCTCCCACTCTGTCTGAACCAAAAGTGGAAAAATGTCCTTGGATGAGGATAAAAAAAAAAACAAGGTGGCTTGTACTATTTTGTTTGACTTTTCCGTTGTCCTCAGTGGTGAGTTTGCCTCAGTCCTGCCAACCCAGAAGCAGAAGTCCCTTCATTACTTTTTACATTAACATTGAGTTTTTCATTTTAGGTGTCCTGTTTAGTTCTTTTAGTACATCTTTTCTCAAATTTTAAATTTCTTTTGTTTAATCGTCGTGTGTGTGCACACACACACAGTGTCCTGTTAACTTTAGTTCTTACTGACCCAAGTGGCTGTTGTGTCTGTTACCATCTCATGGCGGAGGGTGTCCTCATGCATCCTCTGGACCGTGGAGGTATTTTCAGCTGGAGTTGCGGGCATGCACACTAAAGCAACACTGTGCTTGCTTCTGTGAATCATTTGCTTCCATGATACCACCATCCTGAGACCAGGTTTTATATTCGTTTTTTTCTATGGGTTGAAAATAAGTGAACACCAAACCCATGTGAGGTCCAGGGCTTTGGTGTCAGATCCTCATGGAGACTTTACCCATCCAGAACCTAGTCTGAGGCCAGCTTCCCTGGCACCTCCCCGTGCTGGCGAGCAGATGTTCTCTCCGGACTGTTACTTCCCAATGGGATACCACCTCGCGGACCCCAGCTTCATGCGGGGTCTCAGTTTTAGTTAACTTTCTGCCTACAAGTCCTCATTTTCTGTTCTTATCTGGATGTTAAAACATAACTAGATATTTAATAAGACCAGCCAAGCCCTGGCCGGTTTGGCTCAGCAAGCGGACCAGAGAGTCCTGGGTTTGGTTCCCGCTAGGGGCAGGTACAAAAAAATAAAAAAGACCAGCCGTTGCCCACTGCACTCCTACAACCTGCCTAGATCAGCTCACACACCTACCACTCTGAGTTTCCATTTTCTCTTTGTTTTTGGCCCCCAGAGAGTACCTTAATTTTCTCAAAGGCACTATGGTGCTTTTAAAAGGATGTTTACCACCCTGGCAGGTTTGCTAAGTGGTTAGAGCATCAGCCCACAGACGGAAGGGTCATGGGTTCAATTCTGGTCAAGAGCACGTGCCTGGGTTGCAGGTTCGATCCCTGGCCCTGGTTGGGGTCTTGCGGAAGGCAACCAATCATGTGTCTCACATAGATGTTTCTCTCTCTCTCTCTCTCTCCTTCCCTCCTACTCTCTCTAAAAATCAATGGAAGAGTATCCTCAGGTAAGGATCAACAAAAAATAAAAATTAAAGGATGTTACTATATTTTTAATCAGCATTTATAGGTACTTGGAGTGGAAAGGCTTTTAGGTTACCAGACCTACCCTTGCTAGAAATAGAAGTTAAGGTGTTTTCCTAATTATTTTTTTTATCCTCACCCAAGGATTTTTTTCGATTTTTGTTCAGATAGAGTGGGAGGGAGAGAGCAACAGAGAAACAGCGATGTGAAAGGGGCACATCAAGTGGCTGCCTCCCGCACGATCCCAACCAGGGCCGGGGACGAATTGCAACCGAATTGTGCCCTTGACCAGAATCGAACCCACAACTCACTGGTCCACAGGCCGATGCTCTAACCATTGAGCAAAACTGGCCAGGGCAATTTTTTCCTAATTATAATCGCCACTATCATGGCAGTGCTATTGGACGGGTCTGAATATTTTATGTATGTAAATGGGTGGACTTGCCCTACTTACTATACAAGTTTTGAGCCATAAATATTCTTTCCCTTTTCCCTTGTTTCCCCCAAGAAACATCCAGAGAACATTCGAAAGGCCGGTCTGCCTGTGTCCACTTCAGCCCCAAGGAAGGCAATGATGGAAACAGGTGTCCGGGAGTCTCCTCTGTTGAGAAGTTCAGAGGTGAGACCGTTGGCGAGCAGCGGTGCGACAAGGGGAAAGTCTTGAAGCAGCCCTCCTGCGGCAGGGTGGCTGGGCCTGATGAGAAAGGAGAGGACCCCAGCTGGGCAGCTGCCAGCCTCCCACAGCAGGACGGCCATCGGAAGCCCAGCAGGAGGCACAGCGCAGCACCCAAGGCCAAGGGTGCCTCCCAGAAGAGGCGTATTCAAGAGCTCAGAGGAGGAAGGTGCTCCCCAGCTGGCTCTAGCCGCCCTGGCAGTGCCAAGGGGGAGGTGGTCCATGCTGGGCACCATCGGACACCAAGAAACAAAGTGACACAGGACAAGCTCGAAGGAGAGAGCTATTCAGACCTGCCACAGGGGACAGAGGTGTTGAGGGCAGGAGTCAGGAAGCTGGGGACATCCACCCTGTCTGAGGATGCTCAGCTCTCTAAGGAGACCGATCCAGCTCCTGGGCCCCTCTTAGGGCAGAGTGTGAACATCGACCTTCTCCCTGTAGAGCTGCGGCTGCAGATCATCCAGAGAGAAAGAAGCAGGAAAGAGCTGTTTCGCAGAAAGAACCAGGCGGCAGCAGTCATCCAGCGGGCCTGGAGGAGGTGAGGAGATGGGGCCGCAGCACCGACTGTGCGGTTCTCCCCACGCCCAGCGTGACACCCGGTGCTCTCCCATGATTCCTAGTGAATTCCGTGTGCTGCCATAACAAGGCCAGTGTAATTGAGCCTACCCACGAAATTCACCTGTCGAGCCTCGTAATTTACACTGGATAAGCTATTCCAAAGGGGTTTTTGCCAAGATAGGGAAGCAGCCAGGGTTGCCTGGTGTACAGAAAAGAGCCCTGGGGGGAAGCTCTAACAGGGTATCTGACCTTGGGCAGGTCACTTGGCCTCCTCGACCCTCAGTTTCCTCATCTGGAAAACGGAATTTAACAATGCTGCACTCGTCCTGTTTATATGACAGGTTGTAGGCTGATACGGTGCTTCATAAATTCTAAAGCCCCACACACACAAGCGTATTTTATTTTTCTTCTTTTTATGTCTTCACTGTCCAGGAATTAGTCATATCCTGAGTACCTAAACCAGAGCTTGGATATAGTGGGTTGAGTGACTGAAACATTACAGAAACCTGTGTAAGCATCTCTGGAGCTCAGAATGTGGGGTGGGTGTGGGCAGTGGGGATGGACGCTCCCTAAAATGCTGAGCGGAATACCCACTGGGAGTCCTTTGCTGCAGGGTTCTAGTGCCTCGTACTGTCCTTCACCCTGCAGGCCCAGTGGGGTCTAAATCAGATTAGGGCTCACAGTGCTGGCCAGCGCCCAGGGCAGGGCGGAACGTCTCCCACAGGTGGGAGTCACGTGGCCTCCATCTCCAGAGGGGGGAAGGTTGATGGGGGAACAAAGCAAGCGAATCACCTTGAGCACAGGTGTGCACATATCAACGCGCCTGTCAGGAGATTAAAGGGCTGAGACCTAAATCGGAGGGGGTGGGGGCCGCGATCCCCGTTGAGTCCAGGGGGGGGGGGGGGCGCCAGGGTCTAGTGACCGAGGACGGCCTAGCCCAGAGCCCCTGCTTTGCGACAGCGCGGCCTGAGGGTCGGCCAGCCGCGCCTGGAAGCCGTCGTGATAGGGAGGAGTGCCCCATTTCCAGGGAGGAGTGCCCCATTTCCAGGGAGGAGTGCCCCATTTCCAGGGGAGCACGTGGCTCGGAGGGGACGGGAAGCGGTGTCTGGCTCAGCCCTAGGGCCTTTCCCGTACCTTCTCAGTCAGGGTGGTGGTCGCCGCGGTCAAGATGACAAGGCGGAGGCAGGCCCGAGCTGGCACCTCGCTGTGACGGCGGTGGTGGCAGTGCTGCTGCGGATCCTCTGGTTGGCGATGACCGGGCACTGTGCCAACGCTGAGCTAAGTAACTTGACGTGTAGTGTTAAGTCAGCCTTCACAGTCAGCCCGAGAGGGGTCCGGCTTCACAGCCCCGGTCCACAGATGAGGACACAGCAAGCGCGGTGAGCGCCCCCCAGGCCACAGGGCCTGCTCCCCGCCTCGGGCCTGCTCCCCGCCACTGGCTGCCGTCCCGGAGGAACTGTTTACTAGGCACTTCAGCCGAAACCTGGGGTCTAAACAAGCCAGCGAGTTGTCCCACGTCAAGCCCACAGCTGTTCCCCTGCTGAAATGCCTCCCGTCAGACTGGTCTTTGACTCCTTTGAAGAATCAGAAGCTGACAGGTCCTGTCAGTAAGTGTCCATAGCAGCAAATGAGCTTTCAGTCCCTGCCCCAAGAACAGTGGGCTCACAGTCTGTGCGCCCACCTGGGCAGGAGTTACACAGCCCCCACTGGCTACACCACTGTGCAGCTGAGACCTGGGGCATGAGCTCCCAAAGGGCTTCTGGGAAGCTGCACATTGTGGGAAGCCACATGTCTGGTGACAGTAGAAATACTTTTATCGATTCTGTTATAGCCTTATCCACCTCCCCTATAAAGGACGGGAGGAGCCCAGTGCTGCCCTGGGACGGTGCATGGTGACACCTGACCTGAGGAGCGCTGCGGGTGGGCTAGGAGCAGGGCTGGCACCAGGGCCCGGCAGCGTGGGCTGCCGTCACAGGAGACGTGTGAGGAGGGAGAGGGGCAGACGGGGGTGCCAGGATGGGGTGAGCAGGTGAGGCTTGGGGCCCGAGGGAATAAAGCTCAGTCTGTAAGTGTGAGCCTCATTGCCAGTCAGGACTTGAGTGTTTTAAAAACTGAAACCAGATACTGCACAGCTAGACTGGGCTGGCCAGTTGCTGTGGCTAACAGCAGATGCGGTGAAACCCTTCCTTGACCTCGGCAAGTGTAAGCCCTTCCTGTGGGCTCTGCTTAAGGATGAGCTGGACCGTGGAAGCCCGAGGGTTCAAAGGACGCATGTTATTTAGGTTTCCCGACCACCAGGAGTGCAAGTTCTTGACAATGGGGGACCACTAGAGCCACCAGCCCTCTGCCTGGAGAGCAGAGGGTGTGGTGGACACTTGGCATCTCAGACAGAAGGAACTGGATGAACTGTGCAGCGGTGCTGCCCACAACTCTGGCTGCTCTCTACAGTGGCTTTTTGGAAGTGTGGTACATCTAGTAGAGAGACGGCATGGTTTGTCACTCCAGGTAAAGAAAGAAGAATCCTATAGTTGGACTAAAATCAGCCTTTTAGGGCAGGAGGGAGGGGCTGCCCACGCAGAAAGGTTATTTCCCGGTCGGTGTGTGGTAAACTCAGGCGTGGGGCCTGCTGCCCTCTGCAGCACCCTGCAGGCCCCCCTCCAGCACCCTGCAGGCCCCCCTCCGCAGCACCCTGCAGGCCCCCCTCCGCAGCACCCTGCAGGCTCCCCTCCGCAGCACCCTGCAGGCCCCCCTGTGCAGCACCCTGCAGGCCCCCCTCCGCAGCACCCTGCAGGCCCCCCTCCGCAGCACCCTGCAGGCTCCCCTCCGCAGCACCCTGCAGGCCCCCCTGTGCAGCACCCTGCAGGCTCCCCTCCGCAGCACCCTGCAGGCCCCCCTGTGCAGCACCCTGCAGGCTCCCCTCCGCAGCACCCTGCAGGCCCCCCTCCGCAGCACCCTGCAGGATCCCCTGTGCAGCACCCTGCAGGCTCCCCTCCAGCAGAATGATCTTAGTAAAATTCAGCCCTTACTTGTGCCACTACTCTTTAAGAACTGGTGTGGGTCCCCGCCAAGAACAGAGTACAGACCGGAGTCCTTCGCCATATTTGCCTGGGCAAGGTGGGGCTAGACTCCAGGGCCAGCAACACTCTTCCTTTAAGGACCTGAATCATACAGACCTGCATGCTGCCGAGTTCCTGGTCAGACTGTGCCACCATGTTGGCTCTGCAGATGAGCAAAGCCACTGGTTGGGACCACTATTGGATGCTGCCGGTAGGAACTCAGTCTGCAGAGATCCATGTGCTGATGGGTGCCAGTCCCTCCCCCCTTGTGTGTCACACATTCCCCTGCACTCCTCATGGGAGAGAAGCAGCGCACATGCTGGGGAGCTGGGTGTCCCCCTGGGGTCTCTTCCTAGTGGAGGAGCTGTAGGCTCAAGGCAGACCTCGCAGTGGTGCTGTGCTGACCCTGGGGAGGGCCATGCTGTCATCCTCTAGCCACTCCTCTCACCTTTCATTTTTTGTTGATTCTCACCTGAGGATATTTTTTTCCATTGATTTTTAGAGTAGAAGAGAGAGGATGGGAGGGAGGGGGAGAGAGAAACATCAATGTGAGAGACACATTGGTTGGTTGCCTCCCCCATGTGCCCTGACTGGGGCCGGGGATCGAACCTGCAACCCAGGTGCATGCCCTTGACCAAGCATCCAACCTGAGACCCTTCAGTGAGCCACACTGGCCGGGGCTCCTCTTACCCTTGTAATGTAGTCTGTCTTGGTCTCTGTGGTGCCGGCAGTTCTTCAGCCTCCAGATCCTAGAAATGCCGTATTCTAGGATTTTCTCAGTGGTGTCTTTTGATGAGAAAGTGAAGTCAGGAATGACCTATATCACCATCTTGGTGCTTTCCCCTCAACTCAGCCTTTGTCAGACTTAATCATAGGGAAAGGGCCTGGTGTACAGCATGTCGTAAACAAATGCTGCCTTCTTCCAGGGTAGCCCAGCCTTCCGACCACCTTACCTCACTAAGCACACAGTGCTTCATACACATCTCATTACTGATGTGCCTGTGCAAATGCCCACCCCTCTCTGCTCCTGCCAGTTCTGCCTAGAATGCCCTTCTCTGACTGGCTAAGCTCCTACTCATCCTTTAAAACCCAGCACAAATACCAGCCTTGTAGTCTTACCAAACCACTACAAATTGTCAGTCCTGCCTCTGTCTCACGCCATCTAGCTCCTTGCTCTCAGCACTTCTTATACTGTATTTGTGTACACACTGGCCTGTTCTATGTTGAGGGCAAGGACTCATCTTGACTCCTAATTCAGAAACTGTTTGATGGAAAAAGAATTCAGGATTCAACATACTGCTACTGAACTGAGGAATGGGCGCTTGAAAGAATCTCCCAAGTTCAACAAGTACAATTCCTAAAGCTTCTAGGAACCTTAAGGACATTTAGTTTCTCAGTGCTGTGATCTTACGGCCTTTCCACTCTGGTCCCAACAGCTACCAGCTCAGGAAGCACCTGTCCCACCTTCTGCACATGAAGCAGCGTGGAGCCAGAGATATGGACAGCTGGAACCGAGAGTGTGTGGCACTGCTCCTCCAGGTCTGGAGGAAGGAACGGGGACTAAAACCCCCGAAGACCGTCACAGTGCACAGGACCACCAAGAACCCTTCCAGGAGCAGCTCCGGCACGAAGTCCACCCGGCAGTCGGTGCTCAAGCAAATCTATGGTAACTGTCCTTCTCTTCTAGGCACTTTGTGGTTTACAGAAACCTCAATTCAGGTAGGAATTTGATTACACTTTCAGTCACCAAGAGAATCTCAGCACATTTAGTGCCTTCCTTCCAGAAATTCTGGGTCAGAGCTGGTTTGAGATGAGATTCTAGTATCTCAACCCAGAAAGCCTTCTAGCCGAGATTCCCGCTGGCTTCACTCCTAACTGAAAGTCTCACCACTGCGACCTCCAGGCCACTCGCTGGGTCTTCCCCTTACACTACCAATTTGAAGGACTCCGAGCACAGGCCAACCCTGGAACTAAAGGCCACTCTGCTGACATAGTACAGGGTTGCCTATCTGTGGGAATGCCCCAACCCAAGGACTACAATAAGTACTTACTTAGCAGATGAACTGCTGCAAATACTACCTTCATTTTCAGCTCTGGAAAAGCTGATCAAAATAAACTTAGAGCCCTGGCTGGTTTGGCTCAGCAGTTAGATCATCGGCCTGCGGTCCAGAGAGACCCGGGTTCGGTTCCCGCTAAGGGCATGTACCTCGGTTGCAGTTTGTCCCCAGCCCTGGTTGGGTCGTGTGGGTGGCAGCCACTCGATGTGTCCCTTTCACGTCGATGTTTCTCTCTCTCCCTCCCACTCTATCTGAACAAAATATTGAAAAATGTCCTCGGGTGAGGATTAAAAAATAAACTTGGAGAACAAGCCTGACTAGCTCTCCACCAGAAAGGCACTGAGCCACAGCACCTTTAAGAGATCTTTGGCCCACGCAGCAAAATCTCAGAACTCACCCCTCAGCCTAAATGGTATTTCCATACCATACCTAATTAGGCCGACACTTACTTGCAAGCTTAAGCCTTCAAAGAACTGAGCACTTGGGTCAGGCTGCAGCGGTCATGTCAAAGATAGATGATCATTGTCGGTTGATTTCAGGTTGTTCTCAAGAAGGGAGAGTACATCCTTCCCCAAGATCTTCAAAAGCCCATTCTGTGCTGCGTCTCAACTCAGGTAAGGCAGCCATTGCGCTGGCCAAGTACATTGGGAAGATGGTGTGGGGAAGCCCTTTCCCGTTTTGTTTCATCCCCAAAGACAAGAGTAACTGCCAGGCATTTCCATTGGTCAGTGGTTTCAGTATGTGTTTTTCATCCCCCTTTCATGGAATTAGTACAGCAGTCAGCATCTATCTCCCTGTAAGAGTCATTTTTATAGCCAAAGCTATTATTGTTTAAAAAAATTACAAGTAAAAACAATAAATGGTAGCTTTCCTTACTTGTTCACATAAAGGGGGAACTGAAAAGACTGTTGTTCTTCAAAGTCATACCTTGGGAGTTCTTGTTCCATTTTGGTTCCACATTAAGATCCTCCACCTCCTTCCAAAAGATGGGAAGAGGCCCTTAACCACAAATTCTGGCTTTTGCCTTTTAGGGCCTCCAAAGGGAGTATTTAATAGCATATCCAGCTCAGGCTCAAATGTGCACTTCCACTCATACAAGAGCAGCTCAGGGAACTTTCAGCTGCAGAAGGGTGTTTTACTCAGGGCCCTTCCTTCACACCAGCATTAAGTCTGGGTGATAAGTTCAGTGCTGTCAGCAGTAATGCCAGGCCCAGTGTTTCTTGTGGGTGGCCGTGACAACATGCTGCCCCATCCTCCCCGATCCAGCCAGCCTGCAGGACAGAGTGCAGCTGGGAAGGTGAACAATGACTGTCAGCATGAACTTTAACATTCATTTAGTTTTTGATGGGGGGAAAACTCGGAGGTAGGGGGAGAGTAATTACTGCCAAATCTTTAATAAGAGTCAGGCAACTCGTAACGTGGGCAGGCTGATCAGGGAATGGTGGGTAGGGTAGTTGGAAACTTTCAAAGGAATTAAGGCCCATAGTTCTATGTAAAAAACTTGTTATACTTCAGTGAATTAACGATAGTTTCCAAAACAGAACTGTCAGATTTAACTACCAGAGAAGTAGCATTTAGATAAACATTACAAATTAATCAGAGCACTTTGTCTCAAGAGAAAAATCCAGTACTATCAGAAATCTTGAAAATGAAGGTGTTTAGCAGTATTAAAGTTTTTAAAGGACTCACAGTTAAAGAATAGAACAAATTCAAATGTGTAACAATTGTAGTTCATATGAACAGCTGGTTTGCCCTGCACATATAATTCTGGCTGGCTTAAACATGGACAGGGTCTGAAGAGAATCTTTTCCTAAGCCTAAACTTGGGGCAACACAAGGTTTTATTAGGCTCACTCACGCCATCAACCATTAACCAGTGAGTAAGGTGATGGTCAGACAGAGCTACTAGTTAGTTTAGCTGAAGCCTGGAATTTATTCAGAAAATGTGTAATTTCCATGACATGGGCATGACTTGAACATACATGTAAGTTTCTGCAATGTGGAATCACAGATGCTGTATTTAACTAAAAAGAAATCATTAATTTTGGTCTTCAAACCTTGACTACAAATGTTAGTCCATTTTTTACTTTGAGAATTCCACAGGGTTAAATATCTTCTGGTTTTGCTCACTGTTCTGTTTAGCTTTAGGAAACTGTTTGGCACACTGTGGGTATTCAGATATATGAGTGAAGGCTGTTGCTCCCAACTGCCAATGTGGAGAGGCTTTGGTGATGCCTTTACCTCCTATAAAGGAGCAAAAAGTGAGCTAGAGAGAGCAAAAGTAACAGCATCATGGGCTGTTTCTCTACACATATTCAGGAGATAGTTGAACAATCTCTGTTCTCTCATCTTCCACACCCACCCCTGCAAACCACCCATAGTAGTGATCAGAGTGTGTGTGTGTGTGTGTGTGTGTGTGTACACAAACAGGCTCTCCTAAATTTTGGGATCCCGCTCTTTAAAAATAAAGAAATCCCTTTAAAAAAATATCCATTCCAATTAATAGAATACCTGTGGCTTAAGTCATTACTAGTAATAGTACCCCATGTACAAATGCAGAATATTCCTGCCCATCCACAGCAGGGTATGTAGATGAAATCTCAACTTGAAATAGTAAAGGCAGCCAAAAACATGCCAGAGTTCCAACACAGTAGTTCACTTTAAAATAATTTTATTGAAGTAACAGTAATCAAAACAGGAGAAAAAAAAGACATATGTATAACTTTTTAAAACTACTCACCTTTCATGTTTGCTTCTTTGCTCCAGAACATAGCACTGTGGCCTCAATGAGGTCTCTTAACTGTCTGGGGCTTCAATATCCTCATTTGTTAAATGAAAGGATTGAGTACACCACTAATTTTTCCATCTGTGATATCCTATAATTTTATAATTTCAAAGTCATATAAAGGCCTAAAAATCCATTTCAAGTTTGATATGCCTATCAGCCATTCATCTGAATAGTTTTCAAACAAATCTATTTTCTAGAATGGACTATAGCCCAGCCGGTGTGGCTCAGTGGTTGAGCATCGACCCATGTACCAAGAGGTCACGGGTTCAATTCCTGGTCAGGGCACATGCCCAGGTTGTGGGCCCAATCCCCAGTGGGGGTATGCAGGAGGTGGCTAACCAACATTTTCTCTCATCAGTGTTTCTCTCTCCCTCTAAAGTCAATAAAGAAAAAATAGTACAAAAAATAATAATAATAAAATGGACTATATTCAAGTGTGTGGCACATGGAGTTATAAGATATATATGTGCACATGTAAAGTTGTATTGTTATATTTGAGGGATGCACAGAGAGGATATACCCATTATTCCAACTGAAAGCCTAGGTCCACACCTGCCCCTCCCACTAAAAACCTAAGTTCGCAACTGACTCTCCCACTCAAGATTCTTCCTTGAGAGATGTCCTGTATCTCTGAGATGATGGAAAATGTAAGGCTGATGTCCAGCCAGTGTGTCTGCGTGGACTGAGCATCATCCCAGGGACTGAGAGATCCTGGTTCGATTCCCAGTCAGAGCACATGACCGGGTTATGTGCTCGATCTCCAGTAGGGGGCGTGCAGGAGGCAGCAGATAGATGTTTCTCTCATGTCAATATTTCTCTCACCCTTCCCCTCTTTCTAAAAAAAATCAAAACATATATTTTTTAAAAATGCAAGGCAGATAAATCATCCTGTCTCTACGATATGCTGGCCATAACCTTTTTTAACGTCATGTATAATCCAAAACTAAACCCTTTTCCTTACCACCAGTGAAGGCTTACCTTCAGCAGTAAAATTAATAACCTGAATATCTATCTGGTATTTGTTTTTAACAGTGAGCAACCTGCAGTGTATACACCTTCTTGAGAACAGTGGAAGATCAAAGAATTTTTCTTATAACCTGCAATCAGCTACTCAATCAAAATACAAAACAAAGCCCCGACAGCCTGTGGAGGAAGACTGTGTCCGTGGTAACTGGAATGGCTAGTATAGAGTTCTCATTCTCTGCTGGTTGTCTTTCACATCTTAGGGAAACTTTAATACCCACACCTGGAGACTTATTAGCCTGCACATGTGGTAACAACGGAAAGAAAATGTCACAATTTCTTTCTTTCTGCTCTTACACAGAATTGTTTAGACGTTATCCTCACCTGTGCTGGAAGGACCAGGATAGACTATGCCTGTGCAGGGCTGCCTAGCTGTCTGCCTTCACAGGTCAGTATGGCTAGAAAGAATGGGTAACACACAGTCAAGTCTGAGTACAACTAAGAACATGAGAGCTGCAGGGTTGGGATTTCTGCCAGCCAGCTGGCGCGGACTGCTCTTTTGGCTTCAGTGAAGAACCTAAATGAGATGGAGAGAAACCTGTCCTCCAGCAGCCACCTCCATTTCACTGTACTTCTGGAATCTAGTGCAACAAACTGCATTACAGATGCCACATCCTCTTATTCCAGCATTATCAGTTTTAAGTTTTAGACCAGGATCATGATCCAGCATTTGCTTTTAGAAATTATCTGTAAGACCACAGTGCTCTATTCCTCTGCTGATTCCTTTCATTTAACAGTTCACATTAATCCCCTGAAGGCCACAGGCTGCTGCCATGTCCTCTGTGAACGGAAATACTGGTATCACAAGACACCAAAGAAACCAGTGGGGCAGGTGTACAGACCATACCATTTATGCACAAGGTACCAATTCAGGCCTTAACATTGCACTTGTATTTTCTGCCTGACCTGCAGAGGTGAGCAATTATATCAAAATGCCATTCCTACTGACAGAGGAAACTGCTAACTATACCCATTCTAGTTCTCTAAGAACACCTGGTTTAAATAAAATCTAGTGATTGGGAGCTTTTTCACATTTTTAAGGACAAAGCTAATGTAGGACTGCAGACAGGCATAAACAGTGACATTGTGGGCTTACAGATACTTCTAGGACTCCTTCCATTTTCTTGTCACTTTTGTCCTGACCATAAGAGACAGGAAGCAATAACGTGTTAATTTAATCCTCTTGATTTTTTCAGTTTGCTAAGTTATTTCATGATTAGCAAAATGCATATATCATAGAAATCACTATATATAGCTGGTAATTTTTGAAGGACTATATTGGGGTAGAAAGTCATCAATAGAAAATCACTTTGGAAGTAGTTATCTCAGACTGACCACCATTTAGGTATAGGAAAATCCAAAACAACTGCAGCACTGTCTTGAAATCTTGCCCCTGCATCGAGGGCTACAAAACCTCTGGGAATAACTCCATAGTGAGAAGCTCAATGTCATCACAGAAAAGAGTAACCACCCCCAAACAAAACAAAAACTGGTTCCTGTTGCTATCTGACTGGACTGGAGCTGAGAACATAATGAGGTTTGCCTAGACGGGACCCTAAAGATTTAGCTAATTTCTTGATAAATAGTAGATGGTACCATGCTACTCACTCTGTATTTTGTAAATATTTAGTTCCTTTGAAATGTAACATATACTACCACATATCAAGTGCTAGTCCAGGAAGCTAGCCTGCATTCTTTTCCTACCTTAGTGCAAAAGAAGGTTCATAAACAACTTATTTAAAAGTTTAGTTTTAATGTCAAACATTTATTACATCAGCCTCTCTTCAAAATTAGATGTGAATAAACAATTTTAAACAGGAAGTGCCATGGTGCCTCTTTCATATACTGTGTTCAACACGCTGGGCCCCTGAGGATGCCCAGTGACATACACGTTAAAGCAATAATGTAAGTCTGTGAGCCACTGCTCCTGAACACCTCCACTCTTCAATGTCTGCAGAGAAAAACAAGAGTAATTTGAGAATTCTACTAAAATTGCTCTGCTCTCTGAAGTGTTTTTCACATCCAAACAACATCTCGGAGCCATAACCACATCATCTTCATCTGCAAATCACCAGAGGAAACTTACTGGAAAGGGGAACCTATTAATGAGGCATTACTACAGGCAGTGAAAATTTCTAGTTACACCCTCAAGTACAAGTGATAACTGATTTCTCATTTGGTTTGTTCCCTTCCACATATGCTAGGGACTAAAGAAATTTCACCGCCCACCATCCCCACTCTCCAGACTTCTTCCCTTTGGCATTCTGGAGTCTCTTGATCTTTGTACAGGGCCGACTAACAGTTTCTGTCATTCTCTTCCTTATGGAGGTGGGTTGATTATACAACCTCAGAATGACCCACATTCTTGACTATCCTACCTTATACTATTTCTGAATTAGTATTGCATATACCAGTTAATAATCCTCCAATCAAATATATATATACAAAAAAACTTCCCGAATTCTTCCAAATTAAAAACACCGAAGGAATCAGATAACAGAACTGCCCCCCGACCACCACCACCACCACCACAAAAAAAAAAAAAAAAAAACCCACACAACTGAACACAGAGAACCAACCATTAGACAATGCTGAAGCCTTCCACTTCCTTTCTCCAACATCTCACTCTCCAGGAAACTAACTAGAAATTAGTCTGAACTAACTAGAAATTTATTCCTGCTAAATAATTTCCTAATACAGTTAACCTTTGTTGAGCAATGAATAAATATCAGCTACACTAAAAACTTTACTTGGCTGATCTCATTAGTGGTTCCCAAAATCTAACAAAGTTACTATTAATCCCATTTCTACACCTAGGAAAACGAGCTTGGCTAGGTTTTTAAAAAAACACAAACTTGCCAAACTATCAGTCAATCAACAGAGTCTCTATTAGAATCCAGGTAGCAGTGACTCTGAGGCCTGTACCTTTCCCAACTAAGTTGCCTGTCACCTTAATTCAGTTGAGTATTTTAAGTTTTTTTACAGATGATTCTGAGATCTAAGAAATCCCGCAGATTAAGTGATAGTCAGGGACTAGACTACAGGAGAAACCCTGGGAAATCACACTGGGCTTAATTTCAGCAGTTTGGTCAATGCACAGAAACCCTGTGCACCACCCCTGCCCTACCCCACCCCGCCCCATGCCTTGCCCGTGAATACTTTCTAGTACTAATAGTACAAAGTGCTGACCCATGCTTCTTACCGTGATGTTCTTGATGATCTGCTGCACCAAGATGGCATTAGTCAACATATGAGTCCTAAGGGGTGCATGCTGAAGCAGCAGGCGAAGCAGCTGGCCCACAACAGGCAGCTCCTCAGGAGCAGCTCTGTTCACCCGCAGGTTCTGCAGCATCAATCTGAGGACTCGAGGCAGGAGAGCCAGGATGGAGACGCAGACTCCCCACAACTTGTCCCTACAACGACAGAGACAAAAATGAGCCAGTGAGCCAACACATACAGGAAAAGTACCCTTTCTATTTCCCCAAACTAAAAAAGTCCTTGTAAGAAACATGGTAGTTTCTCTTTCTTACACCCTACAAGAATAAACTCAAAATGGATTAAAGACTTCAATGTAAGACTCAAAACCATATAAGAAAACACAGGCAGTAAAATCTCTGACATTTCTCTTGCCAATATTTTTTTCTGATACATATCCTTGGGCAAGGGAAACAAGAAAAAGTAGGACTACATCAAACTAAAAAGTTTTTGCACAGCAAAGAAAACTATCAACAAAATGAAAAGACAACCTACCCAATGGGAAAAGATATTCGCCAATGATACATCTGATAAGGGGTTAATGTCCAAAATCTATAAACAACTCATATAACTCAACACCAAAAAAAACAATCCAGTTAAAAAATGGGCAGAGGACCTGAACACACACGTCTCCAAAGAGGACATACAGATGTCCAATAGACATGAAAAGATGTTCAACATCACCAATCGTATTACCTCACACCTGTCAGAAAAGCTATCAATAAATCAACAAACACGTGCTGGTGAGGATGTGGAGAAAAGGGAACCCTTGTGCACTGCTGGTGGGAATGCGGACTGGGTGGGAGTACAGCCACTATGGAAAACAATATAGAGCTTCCTCAAAAAAGTAAAAATGAAGCTGCCTTATGATCAGTAATTCTACTTCTGTGTATATACCTAAAGAAATCCAAAACATTAATTTGAAAGAATATATGCACCCCTATGTTCACTGCAGCGTTTACAATAGTCAAGGTACGGAAGCCCAAGTGCTCACCAATAATTCAGTGGACAAGAAAGTTATGGCACATATACAGAATGGATTATTACCTGTCCATAAAAAACGAAGTCTTATTATTTGTGACAGCATGGATGGACCTAGAAGGTATTACGCTTAGTGAAATAAGTCAGAAAAAGACAAATACCATATGATTTCACTTTCATGTGGAATCAAAGGACAAAATCAACAAAACAGAAACAGACTCATACACAGAAAACAGAGTGATGGTTACCAGAGGGAAGGGGGTTGGGGGACTTTATTCAACTTTTGATTCATGCACAGCCAAGCTAGGAGAAAAGAAAAAGCCAGTCTGTAGACATAGCTAATAATGAGGCAAAGGCATAGAGATAAAGACTACACAATCTAGAAGAAAAAAAGAGAAAACTACTTTGCTTCCTGCTGGGTTTCAAAGTCCTACTTCCACAATTCCTAGGTCTTGGGTTTTTTAAGTTACTCCTGAAATGTTCCAATATATCCATTTTCTTCAAAAATCAACACTGTGCTAAAAGGACTTATGGATTCTACATCAAATATAAGTATACTGAATAGATGAGTAAAGTTTAGAATTCTACCTTCACACACAACTACAGAAACTGTCAAGCCAAAAAGAAATACCAGAGCTCTGAGTACTATAGTGATTGAAGAAATACCATATAAACTGCCATTTGGGGGTTTTCAACAAGTTGTCATGCACAAAAATAATCTTACTTATTCTATCAAGTGTTTAAAATATAGACCGGGACCAATGAAATGGAGACTTCAGTTCAACATAAAGCAATGCTTCTAAACCACTCTAAAGAATGGTGATATTTCAGTATTTTGTATACAATTTTCAGGAGTTCACCAAACTCCACAAATAACTGATATACTCTGGTCAGAAAATACCAATTTC